CAGGGCAGCCTCCCAGTGCTGTGACAGACAGCTCGTATTCCTGGGTGATGCAGGGAACCAGATCCTGTAGTTCACAGCTTCAGCTGCAGGAGGGAAGGGGAGAGGCTGTTTGCCAAGAGGAGAGCAGAAGCTTTGCCTTCACCTGTGTTCAGCCCCGAGGAGAGACCCTCCCTAGGGCTCTCTGTGGGATGTTCCTGCAGAACTGAGCACCAGGAGCCGTGTTTATTGATGGGAAAGGACTAATTAGGTTTCAGCCCCGAAGCGGTCACCGGCGTGGGAGTGAAGAGCAACAGGAACCTTGTCCATATTTCCCGCTGCTTCAGTGACTCCAGCGCTGTGACTAAAGCTTGGAGAGGTTTACTAAAGGCAGGAAAGTCTTTAGCAAGTCTGAAGACATCAGGGCAGCAATGGGCACTGGATTCCCTGCTCAGCTCCTCCGGGCTGGAGATGGAATCCACTGTGCACAGCGGGAATGCTGTGGCACAGGGAGCAGTGAGGCAGGGATAAACAGCGTTTGAAAGGCTTTTGCTGCAGGGGAGGGATGCTGGGGTGAAGAGAAGGAAGGGTGGGAATGAATAAGCTCAGCCCCTGCGAGACCCTCCCGGCTTTGCAGCACAGTGTTTAATCTTGGGCCTGGCTGAAAGGGGCTGAGGAGAAGTAATGGTCGGTGGGATCCAGCCCTTTACAAGGTGCTCAAGAGAGAGATCACTGTTATCCTCCTTTAATTAGCACCTGTGGTGCCCTGTTAATAACAGGCATCTTGCTCAGACGCAATGAATTCATCCAGCTAAAGAGATCCCCATCCCTTGGGGTGGGGTTGGTGAGAAGAAGCTCATTGAAGTGTCCTCGTTGGATTTTGTGCTGGGAAGTGCTGGGAGCTTGCTGAGATAGGACAGTAGAGAGCCCCCCCTGAGCCCTTGTGAGGGCACCCAGAGCCCCCCTGAGCCTTTGGAGGAGTGAAGGGAGCAGAAAGGTCAGTGCAAATCCCGTCAGCAACACGGAGCCAAACGCTTCCCTTGCACCAAGGAGAGTGGGAGAGAGAGAGAGAGAGGAAGAATGGAAGAGTAAAAGAAAATTTCTGCATTCCCTCATCCTTGTATTTTATTGCACTAGGGGTCCCAATTATAAAACCTCTGTGGAGAGGAAGCTGATGCAGCTGCTCTCGGTGAAAAAAGGAGTGACAGGTGAATTGAAACTGTGAAATGTATTCAAGTGTTCAGCAAGAGGGAACGTGTCTCTACATCTCCTGCATTATTCTTAAATGCACAGTGCCTTTTGGGGATTTGGCTGTTTAATTCTCTGTGTGAGCAACCCCATCCTTTCCTGGCTCACCTCTCCGTGTTCATCCATTCCCAGGAGGGCAGGCTGGTGGGAACATGGGCATCGTGGGGGCTCCTGGCCCTGCCCTCTGGCTGTGCTGCAGGTTTGAACAGTGACTTTGGCTTCACTCGGTGGGGTTTATGGTCTGCAGAACAGGGGAACTGTCGGTGTGTGCGCTCCTGAAACTTCCCTGGATTTAAACTAGGGTGGTGGGAAAGGGGATGGGAATGAAGTCAGTGCTCAGCTCCCTTAAAAGCAGTATCCCGTTGTGGAGGAGACTGGAAAAACAGCTCCTGTAGTCTTTCATGGAAGGCTGGTCAGCCTGATCCTTTGGGTTTGCTGTTGTCTCTGCTGGAGGAAGGGGAGGTAAGAAGGACACACGGAGCCTGTGGTCAGTCATCAAATCCCAGAATGGTTTGGGTTGGAAGAGACCTTAAAGCTCATCCAGTTCCCACCCCTGCCATGGGCAGGGACACTTTCCACTAGCCCAGGTTGCTCCAAGACTTGTCCAGACTGGTCTTGGACACTTCCAGGGATCCAGAGGCAGCCACAGCTTCTCTGGGCAACTTATGAGAGGGCCTCACCACCTCCACAGCCGGGAATTCCTTCCCAGTATCCCATCTAACCCTGCCCTCTGGCAGTGGGAAGCCATTCCTCCTTGTCCTGTCCCTCCATCCCTTGTCCCAAGTCCCTCTCCAGCTCTCCTGGAGCCCCTTCAGGCCCTGGAAGGGGCTCTCAACTCTCCCTGGAGCTTCTCTTCTCCAGGTGAACCCCCCCAGCTCTCCCAGCCTGGCTCCAGAGCAGAGGGGCTCCAGCCCTCGGAGCATCTCCGTGGCCTCCTCTGGACTCTCTCCAACAGCTCCACATCCTTCTGATGTTGCACCCCAGAGCTGGAGGCAGCTCTGCAGGTGGAGTCTCACCTGAGGGGGCAGAGGGGCAGAGTCTGGGGCCATCCTTTCAGGGGTGACTCTGCCTTGGCCCCTGTAATCGCAGAAGGTGCTGCAGGGTCGTCGCTCAGCTGGGTAGTGAGACGTAGCCTGGAGCACCTCAGAGGCCATCGCTTTGCTTGTGGGATTAAATAGGGCTCTTTCTTCCCTTTTAGTCTCGTGTGTTGTATTTTCCCTTTCAGTGCTTCTAGGACTCTACTAATTATTAATAATTAAGCTGACGAGGCAAAGCCTGGTTTCTTTCCACTGCATCTAGAGTGGGCCAAGGAGCTCGGCGTGGGAGCTCGCACCGCATCCCACCCGGCACCTCCTGGGCTCAGCAGCCCCTGTGGAGTTTGGCTCGTGGGATCACAGAAGGGTTTGGGTTGGAAGGGAACCTTGAGGACCATCCGGTTCCAAGCCCCCTGTCATGGGCAGGGACACTTCCACTGCCCCACAGTGCCAAAAAGCTGGGCAGCATCGTGGTTCTGGGTGATGGGGCTGAGAGACGAGATACAGAGGTGGGTCTCAGACCTGATGTGGCACCTTGTTGGCCCGTGTTTATCCACGGGTTCACTTTGTATGAGCAACCCCATCCTTTCCTGGCTCACTTTGCCAGGGTTCACTTTGCCAGTAGGAAATTTTTGTTACTTTTCTTGGTTTTCTTTTTCCTCCTCAGGCATCCAGGAGGCCTGTGCAGAGACGAGGAAACTCAGGTTATTCACCACGAGTGGAAAAGCTTCCACTCTCGCTGCAGCTGCTCTTGTAGCCCTCTGGTTGCTCATCAGGTCTCAGCCTGCCCTTAAATCTCCTCGTGGTCCCTCAGAACCTCCACCAAACCTTCTTTGGGTTCGGTCAACATCTCCTCCCTTTCCACGGCCCCGCAGCTGGGTTACAATGCAGGGGCAACCTTCCTGCACAGGGTGTCCTTTCATTGTAGAGCCTCAGGATTTATTTACCTTCCTTTTTCCCCCTCACTCCTGGCTTCCCATCCGTTTTTTTCCCCCCCTTGCCTTGACTGTGGACCGAGGCTCTCCGGCTGTGCGCTGCCCCACTTCCCGACGGCGGGAGCAGCAGCTTTCCCCGTTCAATCCTTGCGTGCAAAAAAGCCAGCATTAGATAATTGCTGGATTGAAAAGAGGCTGTAATTATTTTTGCTTCCAACTACAGGAGCAAAGCAAGCTTGCCAGACTGCTCGGTGGCTGCTGGCAGATGCTCTTCAGAGGGGTATCCCTGCCCTGCCTACATCCCTCCCCACCGTCAGATGGGCCGTATGTCTTTATTTTAACTATTAACTGGTTCCCTCTTCAGATTGCTGCTCTCTGCTGCCCTGGAGCAGTTATGTTTCCCTTCCACCTTTAACGATTGATGGTTGCTCGGCATTTAATATTTTCCCTGTCGTTATTCCTGGTAACTTCTGCCAGAGAGCAGAAGGAAACCCCCCCCAGTAATGCCCGGTGCTTGGGGAATGCAGAGCAAAGGACGAGGCTGTGAATGCACTGCCGGGTTAATGGGGCAGCTCTGGTGATTAAGGGCTCTAACAGAGCCATTATTCTGGCACGAAGAACCCGACAGGAGCAGATCCGTGTTTTTTTTTTTTTCATTTTTATTTTCCTCCTCTAAGCAGCACGGAGACCAGCTGGTGATCTGGGGCGTCCCAGTGCAAGGTCACTGCCCTTGTTGTGCAGCTGCCTGGTCCCTGCAGGTCTCCCCTGGCTCAGAAGGACCTGGTGGTCCCCTCAGTGGGTGGCACGGGGCATCTGCACTTGGGTCTGCAGCAAAATGTGTTAGGGGGTGTCTGGGACCAGGATGGGGCCACAGTCAGGCAGGAGGGATGTCCCTGGTCCTCTGAGATTCGTAAACACCTGCAGGGAGATGTGGTAGGTCGAAAGCTTTTGAGCTGATCATATGGAAGAAAAAGCCCAGCTGTTTCCTAGAGCTTCTGGCCTTTTCTTCCGTTCTGTTTCTAGAGGAAGTATTTGCAGGTTAAAAATCACAGTGCCTTGTCTGGAAGGCCTGAAGTGCTTTGAGGGCTTGGGACTCTCTTTTCCCAACTCAGACAGCTGTAAGGAGTGATCCCTGGCCCATGGCCACCCTTGCACGGTCACCTGCCACTGGAAAGTGACATTTTGTTAAGAAAACCCTGCAAATACTGAGATCCTCTGGCTAAATCTGCATCCTCATCCCCAGCAGATGTTGATGTTTGCCGGTTATGCCTCTGCCAGCAGTGGGGTGAGGGTCTGCCATGGTGCCTGCAAGTTCCTTTTTTCTTTAAAAGCCAGTGAGTGTATCTTGATGAGAGGTTTCTCCACTGCTCAGGGGAAGCTTGGGTAAGCAGAGGGGCTTTGAAATATGGGATTACACTCTAGAGACACCACAACTTGCTGCCATCGCTCACCCGGCTTGCGTTGGGTCCACATTCATCTGTTCCAGCCACTTGGTGCCAAGGGTGTCATTAAGTCTTTTCGCAGCAATAGAGGGTGAAAAAACACAACTTAAATGCTATGTCATTCATGTGTATGTGTTTACCTGTCCAGTTACACTTTCAAAGAGGACCACAGATGGCATCCCCAGGCTGCTCCCGAGGTTCGCTGCGGGACCCCGAGTTCAGGGGGTGTCAGTTTTAAAGGCTTTTTCACAAAGCTAACCACCTATTTTGCCCGAGCAGTTCTGGTTGCCATGAGCTGAAATACTCCGTGGCCCTCTCAGCTGCTCAGCAGGGGGGTGGGGGTTGCACCCTCATTTCTGTGCTTTCTTTGCAGTGTGGTTTACACGGGCAGTCGGGAGGCTCGGCACGCCGCTCAGCCTTTGCAAACTGCTCCGTAACGTTTTCAGGCAAATTAGGAAAAAAAAAAAAGAAAAAAAGGCAGCAAAGGGGGGAGAGGAAGAGTTACAGCTCTCCTTGTCTTGCAGATGGAAAAGGGAGAATTAAGCAGCTGAAAAATGCGGGTGATGCTGCGTGCGTTGGGAGGGGATAACTAATGAGCCTCCGAAAGGTCACGGTTTTGCTCATGGTTAACCTTCAGCAAGCTGTTACGTAGGCAGGGCATGGGCTGCGCTGGTATAAAATGAATCCGTCTCCTCTTCTCTTCCAGGAGAGAGGCTGAGACCTGCTGAAGGATAACGGGGCTGTGCAGCACAGGAGCTCCTCGTTCAGGCTGCGACGGATCAGACGGCGCTTGGCTCCGCCGGGGAAGGACACGCACAAGGGGAAGGTGCTGGAGCTGCAGACGTGGAAACTCGCCGCGCTGAGGGCCGCCAAAAAAGCTGAGTTTTGGCCTGCGAAACGTTTGCTGCCCTGGGGATTTCTGTGTGCCGAAGATGGGGTCTGCCCGTTCCGGAGAGGGAGTGACGAGGAGGGCGAAGCTTTGCTGACCGCCGGGGAGCCCGGACGGCGCCTGGATGCGCTTCACTGGTGGGGAAAACACTGCCAGGACTTGTGGGCAGGGAGGGTTTGGGGCAGTGGAGGGGCCATGGGGCTGCTCTGGGCTCTGCCCCACAGCGGGGCCGGCCGGCTGCCCCGGCACTGAGACATCATCAGGGGCGTGGGGCCGGGCGTCCGTCTGTGCCACCAGCCCCGCGCTCCGGCACTGTCTCCAGGATACCGGGGAAGGGAGACGAGGCAGGGGCTGAGAAACGTAGCAGTGCTGATGATCTCCTAGTCTCAAGAAAAAGAACCTTCCTGTTTTTCTAGGGATCAACCGGGCTGCGTTTCTCCACGCTGCTCCGGAAGTCTCTTCTAAGCCCTTGATTTCTCCCCCCAGTTCAGAACGTTTTGTTTCTCTGTGTGTGTGCGTGTGTGTGTGTGTGTGTGTGTGTGTGTACGTGCTCAGATTTGCTTTCACTCTGTGTCGCCTTGGAAGTGATGGGCTCCCAGCGAGACCACCCCACTTACAAGCACCTGTAAGCAACGATGAGGGGCTCGACTTCCAACCACGTTTCTGACCTGGAAGCTCCGCGACCCTCCCGGCTTTTCGAGTGACGACGGAGAGGGGAGCCGAGATGGCGGAGAAGTGCGACTGCATCGCCAGCATGTACGGGTACGACCTGGGCTGCCGCTTCGTGAACTTCCGCCCGCTGGGCTTCGGGGCCAACGGGCTGGTGCTGTCGGCCCTGGACAGCAAGAGCTGCCGCAAAGTGGCGGTGAAGAAGATCACGATCGGCGACGCGCGGAGCATGAAGCACGCCTTCCGCGAGATCAAGATCATCCGCCGCCTGGACCACGAGAACATCGTCAAGGTCTACGAGGTGCTGGGCCCCAAGGGCGCCAACCTGCGCGGGGACTTCTTCAAGTTCAACATGGTGTACATCGTGCAGGAGTACATGGAGACCGACCTGGCGCGGCTGCTGGAGCAGGGCAAGCTGGCCGAGGAGCACGCCAAGCTCTTCATGTACCAGCTGCTGCGCGGGCTCAAGTACATCCACTCGGCCAACGTCCTGCACCGCGACCTCAAGCCGGCCAACATCTTCATCAGCACGGAGGACCTGGTGCTGAAGATCGGCGACTTCGGGCTGGCCAGGATCGTGGACCAGCACTACTCGCACAAGGTAGGCGGTGCCCGGGGCTGGCTCGGGGAGGGAGGCACGGAATGCTGGCGGGGCAGTGTGTGTGCTGGTGGGCCCTTCTTGGGAGAACTGGCAGCTCTGAGCCCTGCTGGGGTGGTCACTGCTGGTGATCGCTCTCCTTCGCCCCAAGCCAAGCTGTGTTTTCGTAGAATCTTGTCACAGAATGTTCTGAGTTGGGAGGGACCCGTCCAGCCCAACTCTTGAGTGAGTGGCCCATTGGGGGATCAAACCCGCAGCCTTGGCGTTATTAGGACCATGCTCTAACCGCCTGAGCATAGAATAATTTGGGTGGGAAGGGACCTTTAAAGCCCATCTAGCCCGCTCCCCCTGCAATGAGCAGGGACATCTTGCACTAGGTCAGGTTGCTCAGAGCCCCTGAGCCAAACCTGGCCTTGGATGTGTTCCAGGCGTAGCCCAAGGACTGAGCTTTGCCAAGCGTGCCCCAGGGCTCTCCAGTGCTGCAAAGCTGCAAAAGAGGGCACTGGAAGGGTTCAAGTGCCATTCAAGTGTCTTTCATTGCCTTATATCTTATGTATCAAATGTATTCTCAGGTGTTTTATTCCATCCCAGCAGTGGACTGTGAGGAGGCGTGTGTTTGCTTGCTGTACTTAAGTGACTAAGCTCTGTGTTTCTTGCTTTGCTGCTGTTATAAAACACGAGCTGCTGGAAGCACATGGAAAAGGCACCTGGAATGTCTGCACACGCTCTGCTTGGCTTTGTCCTCACCTTGGAGCCAACCTGCTTCTTAAAAACCCAGTTTTGTTTGAGTTACATCCATTTAACATAGGGAGAGAGGGACGGGTCTTTGAGATTCAGTCAAATCCTTTCATCCAAGGTCAAGATCCAAGTGACATGTAAAATTCTTTGGTGTTTGGTGCTCAGACACTGTATGACAATGCAGCAGTGGTGAGTGACCAGGGCAGCCTGGTTTGCTGACAGCAGGCAGCCAGTGTGGGAGGCAGGGCAGGAGAGCTGGTGAGAAGGCTCTGTAACACACAGTCCTGATGCTAATGGACTCTGAAGGGGGATGCAGATGCTTGACGCAGGTTGCCTTCCAGGCTGGAGCTTTTTGAGCTTTTGAGCAGTGCAGGAACACGGCGGAGGCTTCGTCAGCTCGTGGATCCACACGTTGCTGGGAGAAAGCAAAGTTATCCTGTGGTCTGTGCAGTCTGCAGCTGGCTTCTGACTACAGCTGCTGCCTGGTGTTGTAAGATGAGATAAAGTGTATTTCCTTGAGCTGGGTGTTTCCGTGGGTGAGTTCAGAGTCCCCCACGGACCCGCTGTTGTGCCCGGGACGAGGTTTAAATGCGCTTTGCGTTTTCCAGTGGGTTCCTGCCCGGTGTGGCTCTGATTTGGGCACTGTTGTTTTGTGGGAAGGGGAGAGGGAACAGGATGGTGAAAGGACAATCTCGTGATCCTGAAGCTGAGCCCTGTTTTCAAGTCCTGAATCTCGGGAGAAACAAAACGTGGGGAAAAGAAAGGAGGTTGCAGATGACATCGGGGAGTGAGCGCAGCCTGCCTGCTGCCTGCCCTTTCTGTGCTCCCTTGCTCACTGGTTATTTATGACCCAGCTTAGGAGGAGGCTCCTGGCTCTTCAGATGTGTAGTTTGCTTTTTTAAGGAAGGTAAGTCCCACAGAAGACCCCTGCAAACAAGCCAGGGCTCCACGAACACAGAAAGTCGCTGGTTTAAGGAGCGTCCTGTTGTCAGGGACTGCAGGATCGGGGTAGGAGTCATCTGTCCGTGCCTGCTGCACAGCTATTGTTATTTCTAAGCAATTCTCCGTTGCCTTAATAACAGCCAGTGCAGTGGAAAGAGCTGTCAAGGGCTGCAGCTCCGTGGTGGGATGTAACTCTGCAAGATGCCATTGCACGAGCATCCCCCGACTCCTCGTGGGCTGGGGAGGCTGGAGCGTCGCTGCAGAAACACCCGTCAGAGCCTCGGTGTGCAGAGAAAACTGCTCCAGAGCAGAGCTGGAAGCGGCAGCACCGCAGATAACGTCAGATGTTGGTGATCCCTGGCGACGGGGAGGGCTGTGTTTGCCAAAACTGGGTGATGGGCACTGCACAGGAGCAGCGGGAGGGCTTGGAGGGGCCTTGGGGGTCAGTCCCGCCTTTGATGTCTCAGCTGACTCAGAGAAATCAATTCCTTTCTGTATTTCTCTTTCAACCTCCTCCCTCCTCAAGGGCTCATACAGATTTATAAGCTCCTTGGCCCGTGCTCTTGCAGGAAGGGCAGCAGGAGATGGGGGGGGAGCCAGCACGGAGCAGAACAGGGATCCTCACACCCCGACTTTTGGTGCTGTATTTCTCTTTCAACCTCCTCCCTCCTCGAGGGCTCATACAGATTTATAAGCTCTTGCAGAGCTGCCCAAAAGCAGATGAAATCCTGCTCCCTGGTTTGCTTAACTGTCTGAAGACCCTACAAAGCCTTGCAGGAAACCACTACCGTAGAGGTGTAGCTCTGCACTGCCTTCAGAGGTTTGGATCTACTGGGTCTTCGGACAGTTAAACCACAAAACATGCTCAGGGAAACATATACAAGTGCTTAGGACTTGCCCTAAGCATGTTTTGTGTGTGGAATATGCAAATGCTGGTGGCTGCATTCCGCTAACACAAAAAATTACGGGTTTTGTGGTGTTATTTGTCTGAAAGGTCACAGCTCTTCTGACCTGGTGTTCCTCAGACTCCAGACCGTCCTGCTGAGTGATAAAATGGCAAATGAGAACCACGGTAGATTGTGAGCAGGGTTCTAAACGCAGTTTGGAAATACATGTGCCACCTAAATAACAGCCCTACTCTGGTGAGATGTTTTGTTTACATGACTTCCAGCAGGCAGATGTTGAATTAGGATAACTTGTTGGGAAGGGGAGAGCTCTCCAGCTCTGGGAGATGCCATGGACCACGGTCAGGTGTTGGCCTTCACCAGCCTCGAAGCAGAGCAGCTTTGGCTGCTTTTCTCCCCCCCCTTTGGCTGGTGTTGGCTGCTCAAATCCCTTTTTCTGTGTGTTAAAGGCAGCACAGGGGCTTCCCTTTGTCTGAAACCTCCCTGGAACAAACAGGATGAATTTCCAGCTGCCAAAGCCACATCCAGGTCAGGGTCTGCACTTTCACAGGCTGGTCAGACCTGACAGCCTGAATTTTAGCCCTGTCTCAGATATATGCACTTACAAACATCTCTGAGGCACAGAGTATCAGGTGTGGGAGGAGAGGACCCTCGGGAGATGATCCTTTGCATCCCCTCTCTCTGCCATTCTGTCTCTTCCCCAAAGCTCTCTCCATCCAGCCGTGCAGGCTCCTTTCTCTTCCATCTTACTGCTCTTTATCCCAGGGAGTTTATCCCTCTAGAACAACTCCACATCAATCCCTGTTCCTTCGGTCGCTGCTGTTTGTGGTTTGGAACGCTTTGCCATGCACCTTGGTGCCCAAATGGTGAGAGGAGGAGGGTTGGAGGTGAGCATAAGGGATATTTCCAGCCTCCATGAGGTTCTTATTCTTATGCAGGACTGGCAAAGCTGAGCATCTCCTGTTTCACAACCCACCTCCTTAGTGAATTCAAGCATCTGACCTTCCCCACCGGCCCCTCTTTCTGCAGCCTCAGGGTCCTGCCTGCCCCCCCCCCACACCAGCCCCTGCCCTTCAGAAGTTCCATGGTTCGTGTTTAGCTGCCCATCTATCTCTCCACCCCCATTCTTTGTGTCCTAACGAATATCTTTGGCTCCAAAAGAGAGTCCAGATCCACCCGCGCCGAGTCTGTGAGGGAGGGAGGGGTAAAGATGAGGCGCTGCCCTCGCTCAGCTCGTGGTGGGCAGGAGGCGTGGGAGAGCAGGGAGATAGCAAAGCCAGGGCATTAAAAGCTGGCATAAGTGCCGGTGGATGTCTAGACTTTAAAATAATAAATGTTTTGGAGGGCAGGCTCGTCCCTGGCCGTGTGTCCCGTGCGGTGTTGCTGCCCAGCCCCGTGTCAGAGCAGGGACACGGGGTCGGGTGTTCCTGTCTGGAGAAGACAGTGGGGGTGTCTGTTCTGTGGGGATGCAGAGACTTCCTGGGTGTCTTCACTCGGGTGACAGGACCATGAACTAGGACTTTCCTTGTCCTCCCTGTGCTGTGCAGGATTTAGCCGGATTATCCCTCCTGGGGGCCCTTGCCTGGTGCTCCAAAGCTCTTGGGGGAGCAAGGGGACCCCCTCTCCCTTTGCCTGTTGGCAACGTCCCTGACAGAGTTAATTGGCAGGAATTCCACGCCGAGGGAGCGCAGCAGCCCTTCTGGGGGGGGAGATCCTGCGGTAAACAGTTTGCAGACCCAGCTTCAAACCTTTGAAGTCCTCGATTTCGTGGTGCTCGCCAGTCAGCACAAACATAATCGCTTCCAGTTCGTGCGGTAACATAACAAAACTCCCGAGGGGGCCTTCAGAGGAGGTGAGGATGTGGGGTTTTTGCTCCGTGCTCCTCCGGAGAGGACCACCCTCGGCGTTCAGCCCTGGGGCAGCCGCCTGTGGGCCCGTCACGGCCTCCCCGCTGTGACCCCGGCTCGGTCGTTTCTCCTCCTCTGTCCTCTCTGGTGAGACACATGAGCAGTCCTTGCTCCTGAAATAAATGCACCCTGTCATCCCAGAGCCGTGAGGACACACGTCACGTTGCCAGAGCCACACACAGCAGCCGTTCTGTCGTTCTGTTACGGAGCGATGCTCCTGCACACCCGGCGCCTTCCACAGCCCCTCCTGGAAGCGTCTCACCTGCCTTTTGAAGAAAGAAGGTTAAAAACGCTGCTGTGGAGAGGCAGCAGCTTGCTGCTGCTCCAGGATTATTCCAAGAGCTTGGGCTTGTTGCTATTTTGGGTACCCCCCCAATCTGCACCGGGAGCTGACCCGGCTCCCACGGGTGCGGCAGCAGGAATCCCGATCTGGTTGTGGATGGAGCCTTGGATACGCAGGCTGTGGTTGGATCCTGATGGATTTCCGGTTTGTGAGCGCCTGGTCCGCATCTCTGTGGCTTTTTGGCGGCAGAAAGGTGGATTTTAGTGTGAAACACTCTTGGGAGAAGCTCTGGGCTGCAGCGTTAGGGGCTGCCTGGTTTGCGGTAGGGGGGGATCCTGAATTCCCACGTCCCCTCAAGGAAACCTGCCCTTGGTCCCTCCAGCTCCAAGGAGGAGCTCCAGGCTTGGATGATGGTTGCTTTGAGGCCGTGGGCCGTGTGCTGCCATTGGTGTGACCAGTGTGATACCAGGATGCAGCCGAACCTGCCCTAAATTGTTCCTCCTCCTGGTGTCACAAAGAACACACACAAAATCCGTGCTGTGTAAAGATGAGAAAAAACACTCGTTTTTCTTTGCTTTTCGGCTCCCCTCGCTGTGCTGTTTGATATGATGTGATGCTTATCCTACCTGTGGTGAATTCATCACCTCTGTAGATTGCCTGAGCCATTCCCACACACGCTGGAGGAGCAGGGGAGAAGCAGGAAAATGATACTTGAAAATTGAGAACAAACAAACAAAAAAAAAAAGTAGCATGGGAGGGCTTGGACTTGAAACCACTTCTATTTTTCAATTAACTCAATTATATTGATTTTTGAAGAGATTCCAGTGGTTCTTCAGTGCAGAAAGGGCTGCGCTGAATCCACAGAATGTTGTCGTGAGGATGAATGTTCCATCTTAATTAGAACTAATTAATATGCTTCTGCTCGCCGTCTTTCTGTCTGGTTGAATCCACATAAATGGTAAAATTCTTGTGACCAGCCCTGCCTTGCACAGGGGACGGCTGGAAGTGCTCGGGCTCCCCACCTTGGCACCACAGGTAGGAGCTGAGCCACAGATGGGGATGGAGCCTCATCCCAGCACCCTGCAGCTGCCTGATCCCGGCTCCCCAGGGCTGTGGTGGCATTTCTCCGTGGAAATAATAATCCACAGGAGTGTAGCTACTTCCTTGAAGCAGTAGGAGAGGAACTTCTGCATGTATTTTATAAAAGTGAGGGCCTAGCCCATGATTTTAAGCCACGGTGGAGGCAGAGCAGACTGCTCAGGACTGGGGTGCTCTGCTGTCCAGTTGCTCTCACCGGAGCACCTCGTGCCAGATTGCAAAAGTCTTGGTTTTTCAACCCTCCCATCGCTCCTTCCCGGTGTTTTCCCCCTGAGAAAAAGGAGGGATGAGGCAGAGCCCAGCAGTGGAACGCTCTGGGAAGCAGTGTGGGGGGGTCCACGAGTGGTTGGGACGAGGAGAAGCTGCAGGTTGCTCCTCCCCGTGGGTCCCTCCCGTGCTTGGAGGTGGGTGGTCCAAGGGCTGGGTTGTTCAGCAGAGGGGAAAGAAGGGAGGTGACATTCAGACACACGAGGGGAGCGCCACAAGAGGTGCTGCTGACTGATCACCACCAGGAACCCCACGCAGCAGGATGTGTCCGGAGTCTAGAGCACTCACTGAGGTTTTTTCGCAGGGAATTTTCTCCAATACGTCAGAAATGCCCGGAGAGGAAAATGTTTGGCTTGTTGCGACTTACAGATATTTGCAGTGTATTGCTCATGCATTTTGCATGGTGCACACACCCCCGAGGACTCAAATCCATCTTGCTGTCAGAGAGCAGTGTTAAATCCGAGAGGAGAGTGTCATCCTTTTGCTGGGAAAGAGGACAAATCGCTCCAGCTACGAATTGCCCTGGATTACAGCCCTCAAAGTTTATTTTCTCGGGATTCTCCAGTAAATACCGGCGTCTCTTGTTGTTGGGGATGATTGCAGTAGCTGAGAAGTGGTGGTTTGATCGGATAACAAAGCCTGGGGGCTTTTGTGCTGGTTCTGATTGAGCAGCATTAGCGAAATAATATAGCGGCATTAAATGAAACTTCTCAGCTAATCAGTCTCCATTACAACTTGTCGTAAGGAGGCCAAAATTAAAATGTTCTTTTAGAAGCAAGCCCTCAGTGATTAAGAGCCCCGCGCATTTGGAAGCTGGCACAAAAACCTGCGCTGGGGGGGAAGAGGAGGGTGATAAAACCTCGTGGTGTTTGTGGTGGTGCACTGCTCTCGTGTTTGGGTGGAGAGATGTATCCTGTAACATCCCAGGAGATGCTGCACAGCACAACTGCAGCTTTATTGCAGTCGAAAACGGCCTGTGAAACCAAATGTGGGTAGGGATGGAGTTTTTAACTAAGCTCTTATACGTGAGCTGCGTTCGTGCTGCCGTTGCATTTTGGCATTCTCCAAGTGCCTCGTGGCATTTAAAGGCAGTTCAGCTCTATAACTTAGTTTTATTTTGCCACTTCTGCTGCGTTTCAATCCACCTCCTTCTGCTAATGCGCTGTACTTGACATGGAAAATGCCACTTGTGAATATTCCAGTGTTATCCCGGTGAAAGGGCCATATCCACGTCCAGCCCCAGAGCTCGGGAGCAGCAGGAGCTGGGCCATCCCCTGGCATGCCAGTGTCATTTACAGGCTTGAACACGTCCCCTTGGTTTCAGTGGGACCTGCTTGGCACTTTTGGTGCATTCCCTGGGCGAGTTCAGGAGCGGGAGGGACGTGGCCCAGAGGGTGCTGCTGAGAGCTCCTTTAAATCCTGGTCGGGCATCCCGACTGACCACCCTGCTGTGAGCAGAGCAGGACAGAGGATGGGGGTCTGCCCCACCAGCAGGGTGACAAGGGAGGGAGGGGATTTATTGGGCCAGGCTCAGGCTCAGTGCAAGCTTTCCTATCTCTGCACCATCTCGATGTTCCCCAGAAGGGCTTTCCCACTCATCCCATGCCGTCTTATTTTCAGGAGTCTTGGCTAGGAGCCCTTGGCAGCTACGTTACCCACTCAGCGATGCTGTAAGACATCTGCTAGCCCAGGAGGCTTTCCTTCCACGTGGCACTGACGTTCCTCCCTAAATCTGTTTCTTTGAACAATTCCCTTGTTTATCCTGCGTGGGTTTGTCCGCAGTTCCCAGGGCACGCGGGGTTTGCTGCGGCAGCATCCCGAGGGCTCAGGTGGGGTGAACTCACCAGGCTTGTGTGAGAGGGTGGATCCTGCTGAGTGCATCCTCTGGGCTCTGCCCTCCTGGAGCCCCACGTGCTCCCTGTGCCACCTCTGCTCGGGTCTCGTGTCCCTCCTGGCGCCCGCGGGGCTGACCCGGTGGTGGCTGCTCTGGCCTGGGCTCCCCTGGGAGCTCCTGACCTTTTAAAAATTCGTTTTTGGCATCAGCGCTGGAAGCTGGATCCATGGGAATTCAGCAGTACGTGGGTTGCTGTTACCAGCAGTTTGGGTAGCCGTGGAAGGACTACAGATACGGGACTGACTAGAAATGGAATGAGAGAAAGATTGCAGACTGGTAACCTTTGGAAACTAAGCACTGTGCTTGGGGTCCTGGGCTGGGAAAGGTTTCCATGGCACACTGCTGGTTCTAGCAGGGACCCAGGAAAGTACTTAAATAATGTGCTTAACTTCCAAAATGTCTCAGGTGGGGGGATTGGGATTTACAGAATACATCTGAGTACTCTAAGGGTGACCTGGAATAACTCGTGCAGGTGTGATCTGCAAATCCGTGCTGCCGAAGCCATCTGTCCTTTGCAGAACACGCTTCAATACCATGGTGACAAAACAGCTTTGCCTCCCGGAGCACTGAAGTATCTCTGTCTCCAGTGGCGTATCTCGTGTCTTTGCTTCCTTGCACAACAGAGAACCAGCCCCCAGCCTGCCTCAGGTGCAGCACAGGCGTGTGCTGGGCAGGTTCTCCCGCGGGATCCGGTGGCGGGGCCGCGGCGGGCGGCGGGGGCTGGCCGGGGAGGAGCTCTCCTTGCTGACCTCCTCCCTCTCTGCTCTTTCAGGGTTACCTCTCAGAAGGCCTGGTGACCAAGTGGTACCGCTCCCCCCGCCTCCTGCTCTCGCCCAACAACTACACCAAAGCCATCGACATGTGGGCGGCCGGCTGCATCCTGGCCGAGATGCTGACGGGAAGGATGCTCTTTGCTGGTAGGTTTCTGACCCCTGTTGATTCATTTTTTTTCTTTTTGCTGCCTCCTTCCTCGCTGCCCAATTCTGAGGCTTTCTAGCAGGGGCAGAGGGAATCCCCCCCCTCCCCTCCTTTCCAGCAGGGATCCTGCGCTTGGTTATTAGGCATGAGGGGTGTCCCCAGAACAAGCCTCACTTGTGCAGCCCCTGCTATTAGAGGGTCCCTTGGTTGGTGAGAACTTCACGTAGGGATAGAGAATAGTTTGGTTTTCGCTCAGGCTTCCTGTGTTTCCCTGGGAAGGCCATGTGGTGGGCTGGGTGTGATTGCACCCTGTGGGTGCCCGGGGCTGGCCGGGGTCGGCGGTGCCTCCGTGCCAAGCCTCGCCGGGCAGGGACTGCCTGCCTGCTGCCAAAAGGAAAACCTTGAACAAAGAGCAGTTCTGATGAAACAACAAAACCTTTTTCTGTTTCTGCGTTTCCAGCAGAAAATAAGAGCTTTTTGTTGGGAGGAAGGATGCTAAAAAAAAAAAAAACAACAAACCATAGGGTGGCATAAAAGGACAGGACATAATGGTGCCCTGTCCCGAGAGTTTTGTACTCTAAGCCGTGGATTCAAATCGTGATGATGGATTTCTTCAAGGTATTTCTTTTCTTTGAGTGTAGACATTTGAATGCCACTGCCCATTTTCAGCCATTCTCAGGATTTTCCTGTAAGCAGGTGCTGGAGCTGTAAAGGTGCGGTGCAAGGAGAAGAAAGCAACGGAAGCGCAGCAAGAAGCTTGCAGTTGTCACTTGCAGCATTTGAAACTCAACTCTTGGTGCTCCCGAGCAGCAAAAAAGTTATTTAATACAGTCCCAGAACTGCTACTGTCAGGAGCAGAGCTGTGCTTCCCAAGCTGGGACGTGGAGCTGTTCATTCAGGGGTGAAGCAGCTGTTGAAGGAGCTGCTTCCCTGCCCGGGGTCTGCAGCAGTGCTCCCCCTCCATCAGCCTTTAGTGTTCTGAATGACAAGGTTTAACACGTTTTGTGAGCAGCTGTTTTTTGCGGGGTTGTGTAAATAAATGATCAGACCCATTAATAATGGAGAAGGGCTTCTTCTTCACGAATATTTCAGCGCGCACCGCAGAGCTCTCCGCAGCCAGCGCTTGGTTGCAGCTGCTCTGCTGCTCCCTCTCCCACTCCTGCTTGCAGCTTCCATGTTTCTTTTGTGAGAGCTGAAAAATAAGCAGTCGGTGTGATTTTGAGAAGACCATTAAAATTGCCTCCTGTTCCTGCCTTCCTCTCGTTCCTCAGTCTCCCCGAAGTTTTCAAATCCAGGGGCTTCAGCTTTGACAATTACGCCTCCAGCCTGGCTGCTCCTGCTGTTTCCTCAGGGTGTATTCCAGGAGCAGGGACATCTCCACGTGCCACTGGTCCTTGCAGATGCAGGCCCTTTTCTGGTGTCTCTGGGAGATGCTGAACCCCAGGGTAGAAGTTACGTTGGCTGGCACCGCTGAGGTGTCCAAGCTGGTCTTTAAAGCTCATTTCACAGTCAAGGCAGAGGCAAAAATAGCCCCAGGATGGGGTTCATCCGGCCTTCTGTTTGCTGCCTGCCTTAGACAGGGACAGAATGTGCCTTAGAAATATTTATGTGTCCAGTAATGCTCATTAAGAGCGTCCAGAGGACAAGCAGACATGCCCATGCTGGTGTTACACGTGGCTGGAGGTGAGATCAATCCCGTCCTGCTGCCCGGGCAAGATTGCCCCAGAGCAGCCAAGAACCTGCTTTACAGGCTGGTTCCTGAGAATCCGCGGCAGGTTGGAGATGAGGAGATGGGATTTGGCAGATCACAGGCTGGGCTCAGCCAGGCACATGCTGTGAGCATCCCTTCTTCTCTGCTTCCCAGCCCGGTGCAGCCACTTAATGAGCCCCCAGATGCTGGCAGGATACCCGGTTAATGGGTGGGGAATCAAAACCGAAGCTCAAAATACATATTCCTTTTTTTTTTTTGGTTGCTTTAAAAATAGCCCGTAGAGTTGTTATGGGAAGGCCCTGGCCTTATGCCCTATTTTCCCAGCCTCCTCCCATGCCAGTAAGTAAAGAAAAGGCCAGGGTGGGAGCCTGGCAGCAGGCAGGATGACCGTGGTGTCCACCTTTCATCTGCTGCTGTCCAAAGAGCAGGAGAATAGAGGGAACAGGTAGAATCTAACAACAGGGGTTCATCTTTGGTTCTGCTTTTCTCCTCTCTGCCTGGGAGAAGGAGTTTACCCCCAGCCAGCTGCAGGATGAGACTTTAGGAGAGTCCTGGGTCACCAGCAAACACCCCATGGGAAGTAACAGTGATGCAGCTCACAGAAAGCTGCAAACCTGCAGTAATTGCCTTCCACTGGATAAATGGTTTTTTGAGTGTGCATCAGTGGCACGATTTAAATGGAATGCTTAGCATAAATCAATATAATTAACTCGGTAGTCTATCTGGGGTGCTTAAGCAACGCAGGTAAATTAAGGTGATCGGTTATTAGGAATTAGACGTCACTCGCCGCTTCCGTTCTCCTGCACAAATTAATGAACGTCCAGCAAAGAGGGACCCCCAGGCCTGTTCCCCGTGGTGGGAGGAGCAGCTTCGGGCTTGGCAGAGCCCTGGGAGGTCACGCAGCAAACTTGGTTGTCCCAAAGCTTGCAGGAGTGAAGCACTGTCTCCACCAAGCTAAAATCCGGATTGCAGATCCTCGGAGAGCTCCCCATCACGAGCAGCGTGGAAAACAGGGAAGAGCACCCGTAACTAAGCAGCTACAGCTCCCTCCAGTGACTTTTTCACCTTCTGCTGCTGGAGCTTGTCTGAAAGCATCGTCGGTGGAAGCAGGAGTAAAATAGGAGAGAAGAAGTAAAAAGGAGAACAAGGAGAACAGATCTGTCCTTGCAGATCTCCACGGGGTTCGCCAGTGGGGCTGTGCCAGAGCTGGAAGATGGCACAGGGACTTTCCCCATGGGATCAGGGCTTAGTCACAGGGCTTGGGTGCTTCCCCAGGAGCTGGCTGCCAGCCTGCAGACGGGTTCCCTTTTCCAAGATGTGATGCAGAGCTGCTCGTTCTCTCCTCGGGCAGCGGCAGCACGTCGCGTTTATTCTGCCTGTAGTTCATGTTTTTCTTTTCAGGAATTAATGCCTTCAGAAAAAGGTCCCTGGGAATTACATAAATAGAGGATAATGGAGGAGCATTGTGTTTCCTGAGAGCCATAATTCAAGGCTTCCAGCGTTGCATTAGCAGCTTCTTTGTGTGGCTGAGCACGGTGCCTTTTGGCTGCCAGGTGCCCTTGGTGAGCAGTGGCTGGGGCTGAAGGAGCAGCCACCAAAGCCTTTGTGACTCTCAATGCCCAGTAATTTTGGTCACAGTTCGGGAATTAGCCTGACTAACAAGGTGTTGGTTTCCCAGCAGTTATCTTTATTTTCCCCTGGAGCTGTGCTGCGAATCTCTAAGTGACCTAAAATGAGTTTTTCCTGTGGGAAAGTGAATTTATGTTGCTAGGATTGATGTTGGAAGGGCGTCCCTCTGCCTTTTGTGCTTTCCCTATTGCTTTATTTTGTTCTGAGTAGTTGATGTGAGTGGACATGTGGTGTGATGCTGACCAGCTGGGCTAATGTCAGTGTTGCTTTGGGGCTGTCTTTAAGTTCGCTGCCACGTCCTGGCTCTGAGCTCTGCCTTTTGGGGGAAAAGTGGGTAAAAGTGGTCGTGAGTGCGTTGAACCAAACCTGGTTGGAGTGATGAGGCCGTGGTGGATGGAGAGACCCTTTCCCAAGGGTCTCATTCCATTGTCAGTCATTTCCTTGATGATTGACAACGCCCTTGGCCAGGGTAGTTGTGTTTGGGTATGAGCTCCGTGGGTGTGAGCCTGGAAACCTCCTACAGACCCACAGGGAGCTCTGGGCTGGGGAGGGGAGCCCCTGTGAGGTGCCAGGGACCTCCAGAGGACAGGGTTGCCTCGGGGCAAGTGGTCTCCACCATCCCCTGTGAGTTGGCCTCTCCACCCTCCTCACTGGAAGCACTGTGCCATAAATGAGCCTGACTCCTCTTGCTGTGGATCAGCTGGGCATTACCTGCCGGTGAAGCCACCTGAAATCCTTGACTTGGGACAGCAGGGACTCTGTAGCCCAAAAATCCCCGTGGGTTTGCCTGCCCCAGCCAGCTCGCTGCCTAAGTGGCTCGTCCTGCTTCTAAATGACAGAATATTCATAACTGGCTTTCCTGGCAGGCAGAAAATCAATAGTGCAGCTCCGTGTTTCTACCAGGCTGTTTCTCTGATTTACCTTCTATGTCTCATCTCCCCTGCCTGTTCTCTGCCCGTTCAGGGGGCCACGAGCTGGAGCAGATGCAGCTCATTCTGGAGACCATCCCCGTCATCCACCAGGAGGACAAAGAGGAGCTGCTCAAGGTGATGCCCATGTTCATCAACAGCACGTGGGAAGTGAGGAAGCCGCTGAGGAAGCTGCTGCCCGAGGTGGACAGTGAAGGTACAGTGCTGCCCGCTGCCTTTGGCAGTGCCCTTCTCCTGGGGCTTCCCCTGGCTGTCATGTTCCCAGGCCTGCTTCCTCAGGCTCCCGCAGGAATTGCCCTCAAGGGGCAAGTGCGTGAATGCTGGTGGAGAGGATTCAGATATTGTCAGTTGCTCCTGTAGGTCACACATCCCTCACAGAGCCTCCAGGCCCTGCTGACCACCCCACCAGGGGAGGTGAGGGCTGCAGGACAGCACTCAGGACGCTGTAGCTTGCTCACAGGTCGCTCCTAAGGGTGAAACAGTCTTCCAAGACTATTCCAAGGTGCCTGCCTGCCTTCCCATGCCTCTCCTTGGGCTGTAAGCGGGGGGCTCAGCCCAGAGGTTCTTTTCAAGCCCTGTTTGTTTCGTTCCTGTGGTTTTTGCATGAACAGTACAGCAAGACACATCATTTTACTTCACGTGTGTCCGAACGCCGTGAGATGGTTGCTGCAGGAACACTGTCCACGTGCTCTCCTGAGCTCCTTCCAAGGTTAAACCAGCAACCTGCCAGTTTTGGGGAGACGTCAGGACCAAGCCCAGCTTATGTTTGCTGGCGTAACTCTTCAATATAAGACATCCAGCGTCTGCTCTTGGCAACGCGATATCCGTCAGCCCCGGGGTGCCCAGGGAGCACGTCAGCCTCCGGCACGCAGGGGCAGATTTATTCCCTGCCATTACCGCGGGGAGAAAGGTCACCTGCGCCCCTCGCATAATTCACGGTCGTTTTCCTGCCTCCCTGACCCGCAATATATCGTAACATTACAAATTGTAACGTGTCGTTCCACCGCGCCCCGTGCCCGCAGCCGGTGACCTTACGGAGCTATTGATTCCCTCCCACTTAATTAGTCCGAGTGATGGAATAATCTCGCGGGAGACGGTCGGATATTGGTTAATGGTGAAGCGCTGAGGCGGTAGGCAGGGCTGCCCTTTCTGCTGAGTGACTTTGCCCCCGAGGAAACTGTCCCGCTCACACGGTTACACCTTTAGTGGGGATGTTCCTGAAGGTGCAGCATGAAGTTGTAACTGGAGAAAGGCGTGTTGCTGTTTGTGATGTCTGAACTCAAAGAAAGAATCAGCTGGATAAGCAACAACTTAAGTGACAAAACAGTGATTTTGTCTTTTCACATAGCCTCGGTAAGAAGAGTCGTCAAAGAAATCACAACAAGCCCCCTGCGTTTAGATTTAATTCCAGTGGCCACTTTAATTGCACTGAAATTTCCTCCTCCGTCACTGTAGAGAGAGTTCGTGCACTACAGTCTTTCTAAAATAATTTCTGTCACGCAGAATTCTTTAAATATTAACGTGTAAAATATACTTACGGCGTTGGTCATGCTGAAGGCTTTTAAGAATTGTGGTAAATCTAATCCACTTCAGCTGCATGGAAAGATGTGAAACCAGTTGCCCGCAGCGCAGTGTGCCCGTCGGATGGATCCAAGAGCGTGGAATCAAATCCCGACACCACCCAGGGGCCTTTTTTGGGGGTGTGATTCACCGTTCTGCTCGGGATCACGGCGCTGGGTGTGACACACACACGCCGTCCCGTGGAGGCACGAGGATGCTCTCACAGTCATTCCTCCTGCCTTGCTGGAGGAGGTGACACCTGAGGGCTCCTGTGGTGGATGAGATGGATGGATGCAGCAAGGACAGGAGTGCCTGGTGTGGGTGCACTTGGGGTGTGGCCTTTAATTCCTTTAATTCCTCCCTGACTTTGAGGCGATTTGTTATGGGGGGTTCCACGAGACTCGTCCTGGGAAGGGCGCTGCTGCTGCTTCAGAGGAATTAGTGAGCTGGTTTTCTCTGTGCTCCACAGCTATTGATTTTCTGGAGAAGATACTGACATTTAACCCCATGGATCGGCTGACGGCCGAGATGGGCCTGCAGCACCCCTACATGAGTCAGTATTCCTGCCCCGAGGACGAGCCCGTGTCCCAGCACCCATTCCGGATTGAGGACGAGATCGACGACATTCTGCTGATGGAGGCCAACCAGAGCCAGATGTCCAACTGGGACAGGTAAGGTGCCCCAAGGGTGGGCCAGAGACCTTAAATTCTTAAATTCTTGAGGCAGAACTTGACTGGTGAGTCCCTGACCTGCCCTTGCCTGGGTTCCATCACACGTGTTCCAGACCCATGAAAGGCACCTGTGCTTCCTTCTTGAGCCCATATTGTGATTCTGGCCCGAGCTGGCACCTCACCAGACCCAACGAGAGGTTCATCATTGATTTCCTCAGGGAGCAGGTGTTGAGTCTGCACGTCCCAGTTACTGCGTACCTTTCTGCTTTTGGGTTTTATTCACAGCCTGTATTGTCACTTGAGTTTAAGTGGCTCTACGGCCCTTCCCTCTGTCCTCTTTTCCTATAATGCAGGTTATACAATAATGTAATTCTCTCACCTTTTTGGGGACAGGGCCTGGTTTGAAGCACTGTATTTATCACTTTTTGAGGTGCCCGAGCACCAGAGACCATAGATCTGGGGGTCTTGTAAAAAATCCTTAGTTGTGTTGACGTTTAAATGGTTTGCTGAAAGCCACGCTGGAAGTTCAGAGCAGGTCAAAGCTTTGAGCTGAGGTCTCTAATGTCCTAGATGATTACCCCAGTTACTGGTCCAGTCCCAGCACTGGAGCAGCTAGGACAAAATAAGCAGCTGGGAATTAACTAGGTTCATTTTTCTACAGAGCTCCTTCCAGCTGAGCGGGATGAGCTGGCTGAGGATGTCTGCAGCTTGGTTCCTCTCTGCACGGCAATTTAACCTCCTTGCCTTCTTAATACACTGTATTTCACCAGCACTGAAAAAATTACCTAAAGAAATCCCTTGCCTTCACTATTATTAATCTCTTTACCTGAGTGAGCATGTGCCAGAGTGGAGGCTGCGGGGGACAACCAGGTCAATTAGGTGAAGAGGAAAGCTGGAAGCTTTCCTCAGGATACCTGTCTTCAGTATATCCCCACAGCTCCAGCGTTCCTGTCAGTTATAGTCCCCAAAGCAGCAAATCAGTTGGTGGAGGTCACCTTGTCACCTTTTTATCTCTTGGCTTTCTCGGTTTGGCAGAGGAAGCTGGGACTTAGAGTGTCCTGCCACCCGGCTGGACGCATCTGCTGCGGGGCTGTAAAGTTTGCAAAGCAAGCCAAGCGTTTTGGAGGCAAGAAATGATTTTGCCTGTGTGTTGTGGGGCACCTGAAGAGAGTTTTGTTGCCGTGACAGAGCCCCAGTGCCTGGGCTAACAAGTCTTTTAAAGGCAGCTCAGTTAGGAAACAGTAAATTAGATGTCACTTTGAAAACCGTGGCTAAGAATGGGTGTTGTCAGGTTAATTGCAGTCAAGGGAGTTAAACTGATTTGAGAAGTTATCACTTAGCAAGGTGACCCTTCAGGGATGCTCTTGGTCCCTGAGGTCAGAATAAACTGGTGATGTCCAGTCTCAGTGGGGACCAACAAGGAGCCCTCACACCATGGTACTTGTGGGCTGAGGGACAGTTTGATTACTGGTGTTGTTAATTGTGTTTTAATCCCAAGTGGAGGGAAGGTGACGAAGGGCTAAAGGAAGGGGCCAGTTGGTTTGGTTGTTGGGCTTTTATTCCAGCTCTGGGCCCCATCTCAGATGGGTAAATTACTCACCCCACTGGCTTTTTAACACACGAGAATAAGGTCTCTGATATCAATAAGGCATTAGAGAGCTGTAGGTAAGTGGTAAATCAGAGAGCAAAAGGCAGAACTACCAGCAGCAGCTGATACTGGTTTGAGCACTGCTGCTTCCAACAGAGCCACTGTCTGTGTGTCTTTCACAGGTATCACATAAGCCTCTCCTCTGATTTGGACTGGAGGCACGACAAGCACCACGAGATGGATGAGGTTCAGCGGGACCCCCGGGCAGGGTCTGAATCCACCGCTGAGGAAGCGCAGGTCGACCCACGGAAATACTCACAGAGCAGCTCGGAGAGGTTCCTGGAGCTGTCCCACTCCTCCATGGACCGAGTGTTTGATGCAGACTGTGGGAAATCGTGTGATTACAAAGTGGGGTCGCCTTCCTACTTGGACAAACTGCTGTGGAGGGACAGCAAACCCCACCACTACTCAGAGCCCAAGCTAATCCTAGATTTGTCCCACTGGAAAAGAGCGACCATAGCGCCCGCAGCTGAGCTGTCGCTGGAAGAAGAACCATCCAACCTCTTCCTGGAGATCGCCCAGTGGGTGAAGAGCACGCAGGCGGGGCTGGAGTGTCCCAGCTCCCTGCCCGAGATCCAGGAGCGGAGCCTGCCCTCTTCCCCTCACCGCCTGCGCAAGGAGCCCGCCGAGGTCAGCAGGGAGGCGGACCCCGAGTTCGACCTGGACGTCTTCATCTCCAGGGCGCTGAAGCTTTGCACAAAACCCGAGGATCTTCCGGACAACAAGCTCAACGAGATCAACGGGGCCTGCATCTCCGAGCACCCCGGGGAGATGGTGCAGGCAGAGGTGTACCAGAAGGAGCGGTGGTGAGGGGGGAACCCCCGCTGCGCCTCCCTCTCCCTCTCGGGCGGTGTGGCCGCTGCCCGGGGGCCGAGTGGCTTCCCCACTGTCATGGACCATCCGCTTTTCACACTGTACCAAATGCCTTTTTCGGAAAAAGGCGAGCACAAACCACACACACGCCCCTCTTGGTGCCTTCCAAGAGGTGCGAACGAAATACTGAGTTTCTTATACTGCCTTAACACTCTTGCCTTGCAATCCTCTGGGACCTGTTTGAAGCTTAAGCGTGCAGGGGGGAAAAAAAATGACAGTACGTGGTAGGTTTACAAACAGAAGTCAAGTCAACTTCTTGAACCCTTCTTTTTCTATAGCAACTTAAAATGACGAGGACAAAAATTTTTCGGTGTGGTCAGATAACCACGTCGTGGTTTGACAGGCTCCCAAAACAAGAAACTTCGAGCTCCTCTGAGGCACCTGTGTGAGCACAGGTACGGAGAGAAGTGGTGCCAGGCAGTGTCTGTGGCCGGCTGTCGGTCGGCAGAGAATGGAACTAGAGGTAGAGTTTGGCCATCAGACAGAAAATAACTCTTGGAGAATGTTAACGGGGAAGAAATTTGACCCACAGAGTATGGGCCACTTGGGGATTCGTTTTTTTTTTTTTTCCGATAGGAAGACGAAAATTTTTGCCAGGCGCGTTCTCCTGGTTCGGTTTCTCACACCTAAAGTTTTCACCTTGTGGAGCACCGTATGATGCATTTCAGTGTGTAACAACCTGGTGCTGCGAGTCCTGCCTCGGGCATCTGCCCAGCAAGACCAGCAAATCCCAGTGGAAAGGGCTGGACGGGAGCTGAGAGCCAGGAACAGGGTGTCCCACGGTGTGATGCTGCCCGGCACCACCAGCTACACACACTCAGCGAGGGCACCCACCTTTCCTGTCAAAAGAGGAATTAAAACACTACTATTTTTACCTTCTGACAAAGAACCTGTGAAGGAAACAACAGTTCCTGTGGCATTAGAGTCATCGCTGGCCGCTTTGCTTACAGCTTCTTTGGGAGGTGCTGGCGTCAGCAGGCAACCCAGCCTGGTGTGTAAATAGACAAAAAAGACACAACTGATCTACTGTAACTTCTGTTTTCATCCACACTTCCGAGCACCTTAATTATTAATCGGCTAACGAGAGTTTGTATATGGAAGAAATGTTCTATACTTATATTTAACCAAACTCGGCAGTTTTTTTAGGTGGAAAAACCTGTAAATAGCGTGATAAAAGAGCCGACCTCTGCTTTCCTTGCCGCTGTGCTGCGCAGCCCAGTGGCACTGCTTCCATTTGTAAAAGAGGAACTACTGTACTTAGGAACTCCGAGGTCCGTATTTAACTGCTCCTATACCAATTATTTCCACCCTCTTAGCAAGTAACCTACTAAATACTCTGAGATGTGAAGAAAACTCATGTGAGATCAGATAACTAACAGCAGCATTTGCTGTATTAACCCTGGTTTCTCGTCCTGGTGGGATCAGGTGCAGGCTTAGCTGCAGGAGAGCTTGTGCTGGGCCTTGACAAGCCCAAAAGCATCTTCCTACTGTGAAGAGCTCGCCTTGGGGTGATGGAAACGCCGTTCCTCCAGCTGATTAGCAGCATAGGTGTGAAGGCTGCCAGCTGCACGGATGGGATGGGGTGAAAGTCCTGGGAAACGGGCGGAGAAGGCATTTGGAAGGCAAAGCAGTTTGTCTCCGGTCTTTGCTTTGAGCATTTGGATGTCCCCCAGAGTGGTTTAGGGAAAGGGGAGACGAAGGAGAAACGGAGGGTTTTTCAGTGTGTCTCAGATAATTGATATACCTCAGCTACAGCTCAGCACTTTTACTGGTGGTGGGAGAAATTCAGACACCGAGAAGAAGCATCGACCTGTGCGTTGGAGCGGATCCCAGCCCCGGCAGCCCACGGCTGGCTGCCCGTGGTCCCTCTCAGCTCTGCTGTGTGCCCAGCAGCAGCCAGCAAGGGCTGGGAACAGGGCTGCCAGGCTCCAGTGAGTGTGTGCCAAGGGAGGAGGGGGTGGCAGCAGCCACAGTTGTGCCCCACCACTCCCTGGTGCCGCCCGGGAGAGGAGCCGACGACGCCCCATCCTCTGGCGGGAGACGGATGTCTGGGGGCCAGTGGAGTTCAAACCTGGAGATTGTTAAGATCAGCAGCGTGACACCTGGCTTTTAAAACTCTCTTCTGACAGATTTAACAGCTGTTTTTGCCGCCGTTGGGCTGAGCAGGGAGACGCGCTGACGCGGGGAGTCGTCGGCGGTCAGACCGCGCCAGCGTTTTCCTCGGCACCGGCCGCCACGTCCTCCGAAACCAGAAGCCATTTTCCGCGGGTTGCTACGTCCTCACCAGGGGCCTACGGGAACTATTTGTTGTGGCCATGAAAGAAACAGTTTTGCTCGTGAATACTGTCTTGAGGGCCCACAGTTTAAAGTGTAACATTAACTTCACGAGGAGTGTGTTGCCGCCACTCCAGATTTTCCATGTCGCTTCATGAACTGTTATTTAATGTTGTTCTAAAACCTCAGCGTCACATGCTGGGTAAAGGGGATAAGAGAGATGGCTTTAATTTGTTACCTGAGTGTGCTCAGCTATCACAAGCCAGATCTGTTTTTCATCTATAACAATAAAATGTAAGGCCTGAGCCTTCCTTGCGTGGCAGCGTGTAAATTATTTCGCTTACCGTGAGGCTTGAAATGTTTGTTCCAGTTACTGGTGTCTAGGTTTCTTTTTACAAAGAGTTCATTTAGGTTGGAAAAGACCTCATGGAACACTCACGAACACCTGCACTGCATGAATATTTGCATGCTGGGGTTGTTTGGTGTTGGGTTGCTTTTCGCCCGGTTTTGCTCTGCCCGAGGGCTCGGGGTCACGGGGAGGGAACTGAGGCCTTGTCACCAACGTGGTGACTTCTGCACAAAGTGATGCTTCTTGCAGTTTGAGGAGTCGTTTCAATGCAAGATTGCCCATCAGGTATTTCAATAAACGTGCAGGTGGCACTTCCTGAAAGGTAACAAAAAAAAAAGGAGCACTGCTGTCGTTAATGGTACGGTCTTGTTGAGTCACGGAGGCCACGTGGCACTGGGATGGGTGGACACCCTGGATTTAGAGATGCGGGTCCCAGCCCTCGTGGCCAGCCTTTTACAGGGTTTTATTGGAAAGAGAACAGAGGGAGCAGAAAACACTCTCCCTGAACCTGCTGTGGTGGCCTCTGTGCAAGGATCTGTCCTTCCACCACAGCCACACACTGGCTATAAGCCTGGGCTTGGGAATCCATGGGGGAGATGATTTAGGAGCTCCTTCGAATGTCAGAATGATGCCTCTGATGGTTCTGCTGCTGATTGTTCTTCCCCAGTCACAAATATGTGACTATTTTTACTGCAGTTTATTTTTAATCACGTTGGGATCTAGCAGCTGCTACACCATCACAGAGCTGCACTAACCAGATCTTCAGAGGTTTACCATTAGAGTGATGAAAAAAATCAACTTCAGCTTGCCTTTAAAGGGGCTTTAGGGACAATCCTGGGAAGTCTTTCCTATGCAGATCTCCCCTGGATCCCGGCGTAAAACCACAGCATAGTGAATCTTACAAAGCGGGCTTGTTGGGGACTGGACTGGGAGTGATCAGTTCTGTCCCTCTGAGCAGTTTCATTCCACCATCTACAGTTTTGGGAGAGCTTGCAGCGAGAGCTCTGTATAACGCGGCACGCAGTCATTTAAGGTCTGAAACGTTCTCTCTTTTTTTTTTCTCCTGCTGATTCTGAGAGGAGCTGAAGAGAACAAATGCGCCATATGGTGTTTGCTCGTGAATGGTTGCCTTTGACATTTTCAAAGGCAAGAGTTTTTGCAGCACAATACCCGGGCGAACGGAGCCCCCCTCAAAAGTGCATCCTCACTTTTCCCAAGCCGCGCTCGCCATCTGGGCGCTGCCGGAGCTTGGTTTGTAACAATCACGCTGATAAATTCAAAGAGCGGGATTTTGAGGGGAGGGAAAAAAAAAAAAAAAAAGAAAAAAAGAAGATTTTGTCTTGAAAAAATACAACCTTTTCTCGGAGGGTCTTGCTCCGTCTCAGCTCTTGGGTTGGGGCAGAAGGGATTGCAACAAAAGGATCTCGGAAGGGTTGCTTTGGTAAACGTTGCAGTGAAAATGAGGCGTTTTTGGAGGTTTATATAAATTTTTATGGAGCACTGGAGAGATTATACCCAAGTATGTCTTTGACAGCAGAGACTACACTGAAAAGTAGAATTAATTGCTGTGTGTGTCAGTGTTGTATGAAGTGTTTGTGCGTTCCACAGTGTATTGTTTTAAGCTTAAGCAATATATGGCATTCCTCCCAGAAAATGGCAATAGATGGAGGTGAAGGTGCTTCAGGGTGTGAGCTGAACTCTGCTTACACTGTGTGCTCCAGTGTCCATGGGTGAGAACCCCTTGGAGCCCATCTGGTGACTGCTTAGTTCTTGGGCACTGGCTCCGTCCTCGTGTTCCTGGGAATTCCCACCTAGGTCATACTGGGAGTGTTATAAATATCTTGAACAAAACCTGGGGTAATTAAACAAAACTTTGATAGTCCACTCTGCAGAACAGAGCAGGTGAGAGTCACCAGCGTGTGGGATCGGCTCTGGGATCAGGGATAATGGCTTCCCACTGCCAGAGGGCAGGGTTAGGTGGGATATTGGGAAGGAATTCTTGGCTGTGGAGGTGGTGAGGCCCTGGCACAGGTTGCCCAGAGAAGCTGTGGCTGCCCCATCCCTGGAAGTGTCCAAGGCCAGGCTGGACAGAGCTTGGAGCAACCTGGGGTATAGTGGAAGGTGTCCCTGCCCATGGCAGGGGGGTGGGACGGGATGATCTTTGAGGTCCCTTCCAACCCAAACCATTCTGTGGTTCTGTGCTGATGTTTTTATTTCTGCCATTTTTCCTCTGCTGCACACTGACATTTCAGTGCAGAAAGAGCAGTGCTGGGTTAGCCAGCTCCCTGGGAATGCCGTGCCTCCATCTGTGAGCTGTGTGGCTCCAAGACGGAGAAGGCGGTGGTTCCATGGTTGTTGCCGCAACGATTTCAAAATCCTGGGGCATTTCTGTTGATCCCACTGGTATTTCAGGGGGGAAGTGGAGAT